CTTGCATGGCAGTGCGACACCCAGTCTTCAATGCATTTGAATACATTTCACTTTATAAACAAATTGAGATAAAAGTATTAAATGAAAGGAGCAACGTCCTATGCTCTGGGAAGAATGAGCAAGGAACGAAACTACTGATAAAAAATGGAAATACAGGTCGGTTTACGCTTTGTTTTTGTAAAATTCGCACACCTGAGAATGAAACGTGGAAATAAGAATTTGCATTTGCTCTTTTTGCTACTGTTCGTGGAATAGCAGCGCAATGTTGCTTTTCAGATTACGAATTTTACATAATTCTCGATATATGACATAAATTAAATTTTGCCATAATTCCATCCCTAAAAGCAATAAGCTGGTGAAAATATTACAAAGAAAGAGTTTTCAATAATTCTAAAATGTTAAAGAAAAAAAGTAATGATGCATTAGTTAAATTTTGGGTAACCGATAAATTTAATATGCATTTCATAACTGTAATTCATTATTTAAAATTTATCTAGCGACCTTATCCTCTTGTGCTGGCGTCCTTTTCATCAATTATCTTGATACATTTTTATAGATAAAAAAATGTATCGAGTTTCAAAAGTTTATCAAGTGTTCAGATACGAATTCTTCACAGTGTACACGAGAATAGGCAATTGACATTTGACAGTTAAGCTGACAGAGGTGAGCAGGGAGGAACTCGTTTTGTCGATTTTTTCTTCGAAAGGAATAATTACTGAAAATTAAAAATGCTGTCGAGGACTGCTTTACTTTCAGGTAATTTACTTGAATTTTATATTTAAAGAGAAGCAGCGTATTTGACTTGCGGAGTTCTTAGCAAAACGCTTTGACGGCTATTCATATGTTACGCGATTAGCAATGCGAAAGCCATCGTGGTTTATGTAATCGCCATAGGAGCAAATGTCAAAAAATGATATTTGCAACAAATAATTTTATAAAAATGTGATTTAAGTTTAATATTAAATACAATTTGAATTGCCAATTTCAGTGCAACGCCCGTTGGGTGTTTTGGCCATGAGGTCGGCATCAGCAGCCGGTTCGGGAGAAGTTGGTCGAAGAGAGCGACCAGAACATCCAGGCAAGGTGCGTTTGGGTTTCCTTCCTGAGGAGTGGTTCCAGTTTTTCTACAATAAGACTGGTGTCACTGGCCCATACACCTTTGGGGTGGGTCTGCTGACTTACCTCTGCTCCAAAGAAATTTACGTCATGGAGCACGAGTACTACAGTGGCTTGTCCCTTGCTATTATGGCTATTGTAGCCGTAAAAAAGTTGGGTCCAACAATCGCTGCCTGGGCTGATAAGGAAATCGATGTAGGTTTTGTTGCAACATTTCTGCCTATGCTATTAAGGCAACTGTTTTTGATATTAAAATGTAGAAAGTCGAACATGAGTGGAAGTCGGGTCGCGAGGAAGAACTGAAGGCCTTAGCTGATGCCATCGAAGCCGAAAAGAAAGAGCAATGGCGTGCTGAGGGTGCCTTGCAGCTTATGGATGCCAAAAAGGAAAACATTGCTTTGCAATTGGAAGCCGCATTCCGCGAACGCGCGATAAATGTTTACAATGAGGTACAACACAAACTTTAGTGGATAATGGTGTGAACAAAGTCAAATATTTCATTTCTGGATTTTCTTAGGTCAAACGCCGCTTGGACTACCAGGTGGAATGCCGTCACATTGAGCGTCGTATTAGTCAGAAACACATGGTTAATTGGATCGTTAACAACGTCCTTAGCTCAATCACTCCACAACAAGAGAAGGAAACTCTTAACAAGTGCATTGCTGATTTGAGCGCTCTTGCTGTACGCTCCAAATAGATCATTTACTATTTTAAATATATTTTGAACCGGAAACAAATGTATAATTTAACAATAAACTTGTAAAGAGAATACGAGTATATATATTGAGATTAAGTAATATCCTGTGCTCTTTAAATATATGTACAGAAGTGCTGGTAGAATGCGCTAGAGATGAAAATCATGGAAGTTGTTGTAGGGGGAGTTTATTTGTATCAGTTTGAAATGGAAAATTGTGTTTTAGGTCATTCCAAGAATGATAGAATACTACTTCCCTCAGTAGGGTCAGGTTCGTAGTCCCGGCTACGATGACAACAGTCAATAAACTATGCAAGGCGCATAGAGATGCGTAGGGATGCGCCTTGTAAATCATGTATTCGTAAAATGTTTGGAAAATAAGTATTTGGTAGACATACCAAGTTGGTATGTATGAAAAAACCAAAATGTCCAAATCTCGTTTCTAAAAATGCAACTCGGCTAATTAAAAAAATGGCAGCCCCGGAAACACGGTTGCCATTATTAGTTGTTTCCACCCAAACTTGGTTGTTTTTCTTTTATTTTTTCTAATTTGGTTTGGTAGTTTTTTCTCTGGTTCGGTTGTTTTCTTTTTTAATTAGAATTAGCAAATGTTTTCTTTAAAAAAGTGTTATTGCATACTTAGTCCCAAAAATGAACAAATGAATTTATCAAATTCCTATTTTTAATGTAACTTGTTTTATATGCACATAAAAAGTAAAAAAGGGGTTGAAGGCACAACTATTTCAATAATTTTTGTTTTCCAAAATACCAGCTATACATACTAGTGATGGGCGCGGGGTAGCGGGACTCGCGGGACCACGGTACTGCTTTAAAATTGGCCAGGATGGACGGTATCGGGAAGATCTGTGAAAATATGGCGGGCGGGGCGGGACCAAAATCCTTTCCCGACACTCCCGATAAAAAGATGTTTGAAATATGCACTTTTAATGTTTTATTGAGACGAAAACGAACATCAAAGCAAAACAAAATGATTGGCATATGCCAGATCTTTCATTTTAATTTTTATTATATAAAATTAATTTGCAAGACATGAACATTTTTGTCAACCTTCGATCGCTTTGCAAACCACGACACACACGTTGAAATCTCAACCGATCGTTTTAATTTGTTGTCCGTTTGTAGCCTGCTTTAGAGATTAATATTGGTACCAATGAGACCCCGGTACAATTCTGAAAAACGGCAGAAGGGCGGGTTCGGGACTTAAAAAACGAATTTCGAGATGGCCAGTATCGGGATTTTAGTCCCGTGCCCACTTCTAAGCTGTACCTTTTACCATAAGTTAAATTAATGTTGTTTTTTCCCAAAATTTTCATGACAATCTATCAAGCTTAATAAAATTTTGGAATTTTTGGTTTTTGTAATAAATAGGTGGATAACAAATTTGGTTGATTTTCTTTCAATGTGATTGTTTTTTTTTTTTAGATTTTGGAAGGTTATATTTTTAGAGATGGCAACCGTGCCCGGAAACTGTCAAAGCTTCGGCTCAACTTCTCATACGTGTCGTTTTCGTGTGTCGCTCTCGACGTGTTCATTTTGTTTTTCTGTGGCGAAAAAGGTAATTTATTGTATTATATTGAACAAATTATTTTTAAAGCGTGCAAGTTTTATTTAAATTTAAATAGAGTTTAAAGAAAGTGATATTAATAAGTAGCTTTCTTCTGTCAAATCGCTTGCACTAGCGAATGATTGCGAACCCCAGGAGTACACTTTTTTTTAACACTTATTTCCTGTTTTTTCACATTAAAGCAAAACTTACAACAGTCCAACAAAAATGGCCCCACCACAAAGGATGCGTGTCGCCAATGAAAAGGCTAGCAAATACGTAACCATGCGAGGCAACGTTCCAAAGTCGTCGGTAAGTACAAACAGGTTATTGCTGTTGCTAATAATATTTTAGTATTAATATACATACGTAAATATATACACATATATTTCGAAAGAACTAAATTACTTGCGTCTAAGGGTATCTTTCAACATATTGCTATTAAACAAATCTCCCAATATATTTACGTTAAACGGCCATAAAACTTTGATGCAAGAGTCGATATATTTTCTACAATGATGCGGCAATAACAAACAGGTGAAAGTGCCACGCCGTCGTTCTTCGTTTTAAACGATCCTTATCATTGATTTGTATACAATTTTGCACATACATTTGTATGTACATATGTACATTAGCACATATTTATGTAAAGCCCTAGTTATTACCAAGGCGCACGTATACATATATATATACATATACCTACATATATGGATGCGCCTTGGTTATTACTAAGCTAGATGTCCGTGAATTAGTTTATAAACAAAACCTTAAAAGATGTTCATGTTAACCTTATCAATTTTTTATATTTCCAGAAATCCAAAGATAATCAATACCCCGTTGGACCCTGGCTTTTAGCGTTGTTTATATTCGTAGTGTGCGGTTCTGCAATTTTCCAAATTATCCAGTCAATTCGGGCAGCGTAAAATCACCATGCAGCTAAATTAGTTATTTAATCTTAAATGCATGGAATAATCTTCCAACAGCCGATCATAAAATTACCACAACCGAACATACATACATAGTTAACTGATTTCAAGCAAATCTTTCAATTCAAATGTTTGTCGAATATTTTATATATCTAATTTGTATGCATTTTAAAGCGATGTTATAGTTTTGTATTATTGATATCAACATAAACTGGAATTTGCATCACTTGTACAGCAGAGACATTTTTTTTCGAAAGCATTCCTTATGGTGATTTTTGTGATTGGTTTTTTTTTTTTTTTCGGGCACCCTTATATTCACTGAATTGTGTATAATCTGCTCGATATTTAAGCAGTAACTAAAATTTAATTGAATTATGTAATTTTGTATAAATGTAATAAATACATAAATATTTAAAATTTTTACTTATTAAAAGAAGTTTATACAATTTCATTATGTGAACTGAATAAACGAAATTTTTTATTGCTAAGATTTATAGAAAATTTGATAGATTGCATCGGAAAAAGTATCACTTTAGTGCGGTAGGATGTGAAATGAAGGGGCTAAATAAACGATTCACAATAGGGGTATTCACCAAATTGAGCCAGTGGCCTGGCACTCTGGGGCAAATTAGCTCAAGCAACGACTGTTGTCATGTAAACAATGAAGGACGTATTATACCTACTATACGTATTACGTATGTCCTTTAAGAGACAATGGCCATTTCAATTTATGATTAGTACCGCATCTACATACATATTTGTGATTACGTATGTATTTGTACTCGATTTGTTATTATTTTCCAAACAACGGTGCATACCTTCAGTACAATTACAGTATAAAATGGCAAACTGCGCAGGAAGCCCATCTCGCATTAATATTCTTGCTACCAAAATAAATTTACAGTGTATTTATGTTCACACCCGTATGGAATAATCGATATTACTTCGATATCGATTTATCTGAAATGAATTTTAATCAATCAATTTGTAACATATTCATTTCCATGTAAACAAAATAACAGCTGATCACAGTTTATTTGGTATTATAAAAAAAAAAATTTAATAAATTCGTGTGAATGCGCCGGCTATTTTATACGTATTTTAGTGCTATGTCAAAAAATAAAAATAAGAAGTCATCAACTGCGGCGACAACAACCACTGCCGATACGAAATGCGAAGAGGGTCCAGTACAGATGGATAAAAGCGGTAATATATGTATACGTATCCTGGCTAAACCCGGCGCTAAGATGAACGGAATCACAGATATTGGAACTGAGGAAGTAGGGGTGCAGATCGCAGCACCACCCACAGAAGGCGAAGCCAATGCGGAGCTGGTAAAATATCTGTCCAAAGTACTGGGGTTGCGAAAAAGTGACGTATCATTGGACAAAGGATCCCGATCACGCAATAAATTGGTTATGGTTAGTAAAGGTGTCTCTACGCCTGAAAATGTGTCCGCAGCGTTAAAAAGAGAGTGCGAGACTTAAAAAACTAATAAAGGAAATTCTGTCGCATTTCATTGATTTTACGATGTACTATGTCATTGAGGTAAACAAATGTCTATTGTATTTTATTTATTGTTTCTTAATCTGCAACTAAGAATCTTAATTCTAGTATATTGTATGTAATAGATAAATAAATCTGGTACATTTTTTATTGACAACAATCGCTGTCGTAGGCATCATCTCTAATCCAACCGAAGAGAAAGTAACCAATTGTAAGGCCCAAAATAATGGCTAAGCACAGCCAATAATTAAAAGTCATAAATATTAGCATGATCAGCATTGACAATGTAACTTGAATTAAGAACAATAGAGTTTGTATGAGATGAGATTTTGCTAGTATTTTCTTAAGTAATTGTTTACTTTTCAGTCCCGCGAATGTATGACATACTGGGTCTACTTGCTCTTTATTTTTCCCAATTCGTTTAAGTTCACGTCGAAGAAGAAACTGCCGTAGAAATTTTAGAGCTTCATATAAAAATGACAAAAGAAAGACAGCAAGAGCTGATAGTGTAAATTCGGCGATAGATTTAGGGGACCAATTCTTCCAAAGGATCGTCTCACAATGCCCAGCATGAAACTAGATTAGGGAGGAAAACATTATGGCCAGTCTTGGGTAGCCTGTCTTTCTTTTTTACTTACAAGCATCATGTGCGTACAAGAGTCATCCCTTTTTGTGTTATATTCGTGATGATCTGCGTTCATTGTAGTTGTGATGATTGGTGATTAAATTTAAATAAACGAATATTGATATATTTTTTTGATTAAACTGGTATGGAAAAAGAAAATACAAATGCGACGATTGTTTCAGTTCAAACTGGGTATCGCAAAAAACTATAAATATTTTTTTTATAAATTTAGCTCATAGTTTATTTTTTCATACTGGATAATAAATTATCATAAAACAAAGTTTTTGTTTTAAATTGAAGTTCATCCTTTTGGCTATAGCCGCTTGTTAAACCTTTTCAATTCGGTTCACGCATTTAAGCCAACATTATTTTTGTAGGGATTCTTGTATCTTTACATTCCGGAGTCCTTACTCCCTCTTTATGTAATACAAAGTTCCCCCCCTGTTCGGAAATCGATCAATGACGAATGTATGCAGGGGCTTTTCTACATTTCATCCACGATACATATATAATTGATAGGAATGTCCAATACGAGAAAACTATGGTTAAACGCCGAATTGTTTGTAGCACAAATTGACCATTTCCCCATAACTTGTAGTTTAGAATTAATGATGCTGCGAATTGGTGAATTTAAAGAAACTAAGAACTTGGTAAAGATGAAAGTTTCTGTTTGCTAAAATATTTTGACAACTTTACCTCTGTAGTAATTGCATTTAGTTTTATGCATACATGCCCAAAAGACAACGCAATAAATTAAACACTAAAAATATGGTTTGATAAACATTTAGTTTATATTTTATTTTTTCTAATTTCCTAGCAGAACTATGGAATCTCATAACATACAATATTAAGTTCATTTAAACATTTACTTCTATGTAGATTCTCACACGCATACATCGATTTAAAAATGAAAACCATCATTTTTGAATCCTTGGGATATACAAGAGCCGCTTAAAACGCGACAAAAATTAAATCTTATTTCCAAACATAAAAATTGAACATAAAAAGTAGTCGACAAATATTCGACGATTTTAGAGATGCTCGCTTAACGAATTCAAAATTGTGTAGACTAAATGAACTTATGATGTAGGAGTGTAGCAATCCGCACTCAGATTTTGGAACGCTAAATTAAAGTCAAGGCTTAGTTTAATCGACTTCCTCCATATGAGAAGCGTCTTCGGTGTCATCAACCAATGGAGGAGCATCACCAGCGCTCTGTGTATCTTCAGTCGCCATTGGTTCTTCCTCATCGATACCAAGACCTAGCTTGATCATGCGGTAAATGCGGGAAGCATGCACCTGTGGGCTGTCTAACGAGAAACCGGATGACAACAGTGCAGTCTCGAAGAGCAGGATGACCAAGTCTTTAACAGCCTTATCCCTTTTGACGCAGAATCTCAACGATCGGATGTTCGGGATTGATTTCCAAATGCTTCTTGCCGGCCATGTAGCCCATGGTAGAGGTGTCACGCAAAGCTTGGGCCTTCGTGATACGTTCCATGTTTGCAGACCAACCGAGCTGCGATGTCACAATACAACATGGCGATTCAACCAATCGGTTAGATACGACCACCTTTTCAACTTTGTTATCCAAAATTGACTTCATCAGCTTGCAAAGGTTTTCGAACTTTGCTTTGTCTTCCTCACGCTTCTTCTTCTCGGCTTCATCTTCAGGTAGCTCCAAGCCTTCCTTGGTAACAGAGGTCAATTGCTTGCCCTTGTACTCCTTCAAGTGTTGGATGACATATTCATCAATGGGTTCAGTCATGTAAATGACCTCGAAACCACGTGCCTTAACACGTTCAACAAAGGCAGAGTTGCTGACTTGTTCCTTTGACTCGCCAGTGATGAAGTAGATGTGCTTCTCGTTCACCTTCATACGTGATACGTAATCTGCCAAAGAGGCGGCATCATCACCAGAAGCGGATGTGTGGTAACGTAGGAAGTCAGCAAGCTTGGCACGGTTGTTGCTATCTTCATGTACACCCAATTTCAGGTTCTTGGCGAACTGGTCGTAGAACTTCTTGTACAATTCCTTGTCTTCGGTAAGTTCTTCAATCAATTCCATTGTCTTCTTCACCAAGTTCTTGCGAATTACTTTCAATACTTTGTTCTGTTGCAACATTTCACGGGAAATATTCAGTGGCAAATCTTCAGAGTCAACAACACCCTTAATGAAGTTCAAGTACTCGGGAATGAGCTCTTCACAGTTGTCCATAATGAAGACACGTCGCACGTACAATTTAATGTTGTTGCGTTTCTTCTGGTTCTCGAACAAGTCGAAGGGTGTGCGGCGTGGGATGAAGAGCAAAGCACGGAATTCCAGTTGGCCTTCCACAGAGAAGTGCTTTACGGCTAAATGATCTTCCCAGTCATTAGTCAGAGATTTGTAGAATTCGCCATATTCCTCCTGTGAGATGTCATCAGGATTGCGGGTCCAAATAGGCTTTGTTTTATTCAACTCCTCATCTTCGGTGTACTTAACCTTCACAGTCTTCTTCTTCTTCTTGTCCTTGTCTTTATCAGCATCTTCATCCTCACCGACATCTTCAATCTTGGGCTCGTCGGTGTCCATTTCCTTCTTCTCTTCGTCTTTCTTGTCATCTTCAGCTTCATCGTCACTCACCTCCTTCTCGCGCTCTTTTTCTACCAACAATTTAATTGGATAACCAATGAATTGAGAATGTTTGTTCACGATTTCTTTGATCTTGCTTTCTTCCAAGTATTCAGTTTGATCCTCTTTGATGAACAAGACTATCTTTGTACCACGGCCCAAAGGTTCCGTGTTATCGTGTTTCACTGTGAATGAACCACCGGCCGACGATTCCCAAATGTATTGTTCGTCATCGTTGTGCTTCGATGTGACAGTCACTTTATCGGCAACCAAGTAGGCAGAGTAGAAACCAACACCAAATTGACCAATCATAGAAATATCAGCGCCAGCCTGCAACGCTTCCATGAATGCCTTTGTGCCAGACTTGGCAATTGTACCCAAATTGTTAACCAAATCAGATTTAGTCATACCAATACCGGTATCAATGATGGTCAAGGTGCCAGCAGTCTTGTTGGGAATAAGCTTGATGTACAGCTCTTTGCCGCTATCCAATTTTGTAGGGTCAGTGAGCGACTCATAGCGGATCTTATCCAGCGCATCGGATGCGTTGGAGATCAACTCACGGAGGAAAATTTCTTTGTTCGAGTAAAATGTGTTGATGATCAACGACATAAGCTGAGCAATCTCAGCCTGGAAAGCAAAGGTCTCCACATCTTCTGGCATCTGTAACAAAAATTAAATAAAATCAAGTTAAAATATGTATGTACGTATGTATGTACATATGAATTTCGCAATTAAAAGAAATATGTATGTTCTAGAAACAATTGTAACTGCAAATTTCACCATGCAAGTTAAATTCATCTTCACATTTTATCCATTTAACAATTTTTTCTTCTAATTGGATGCCTTGAGCAGATAACCTTGTAGCCATTTCAATCGATTTTTCATTGCATTTCCCATACAAACTTGCAGTTACACTTTTNCTTATTCGAGTAAAATGTGTTGATGATCAACGACATAAGCTGAGCAATCTCAGCCTGGAAAGCAAAGGTCTCCACATCTTCTGGCATCTGTAACAGAAATTACATAAAATCAAGTTAAAATATGTATGTATGTATGTACATATGTAATTTCGCAATTAAAGGAAATATGTATGTTCTAGAAACAATTGTAACTGCAAATTTCACCATGCAAGTTAAAATCATCTTCACATTTTATCCATTTAAGAATTTTTTCTTCTAATTGGATGCCTTGAGCAGATAACCTTGTAGCCATTTCAATCGATTTTTCATTGCATTTCCCATACAAACTTGCAGTTACACTTTTATTTTTTTCATACATTCGAGAATAGTTAATTTTAGTACACACCTTTCTTATATTTTATTATCAACTTTTAACAAATAATGCAGCAAAATTTCTCTTCTCAATAGTCACTTGTAAAATATTGCAAACACACTTTGTAAAATGCTCCGCGCAAACGTGTTTTAATCGTATTTTTTCAATTCAATTGATGCCGGCGTTTCTCATACGGCTCTATTTATAGCGGACAATGCCAGTGACAGAAAAGTAGAAAAACCGAGATTGTTCTAGAAGAAACTTATCAAACTTCCGGTGACATTTTATGGCATCACGCAGATGGCAATTTCGGCAATGTTGTCTTTTCTGTATTAAGTAGTAAGTTTTTGTACCGGAATAATTAAAGCATCTGTCTCTTATTGAAAATGTATTCATTAAAAGAGCTCTATACTGTACAGTAAACAGAAAATGGTGTTAGAAAAATGTGTAAAAATTATGCACTGCATGAATGCCATAGGAAATACAAAAAATCCAGTGTCTCTCAAATGTTGGATGACTAAAGTATAGGAATATTCTGGATCCGGTTTTAAAATGACTACCCGATGAGTGTGTGAAATGTGCCGCATATATTTTACACGAACATACATATTTATGTAAATAAAATAGTAATGAATGTTTATACATAAGTAACTATGTACATATGTGCTTATGTAGTTTGTCAACTAAATTGCATTCCAAGTACTTCACGATTTGGAGATCTTTACAAGAAGCGGCTCCGTATGCCACTTTCCATAAGGTTTATTAATGGCGAAATAGCTTTTCCTGTAAATTCTGCCAAAAATTCGAATCCTCAAGTTCTTATAACGGCTTATTAATTGTTGAATGAAAAGTTGGTAATACATTTTAGGTTGTTTCATTGCGCATAAAATTTCCTTAAGTAGGTGGAAGTATGTATATATGTACATTGGTACTAAAAGGCGCATATTTTTACAACACATATGTTAGTATGTATGTAGGTATATAACAATGTAAAACTATTAAGAGTAATACTTAGATAAAACCTTTAAGAATTAATTCTGTCAAAGATACGTATGTAAATTGAAATACATATCTAGTATGTATGTACATATGTATAATATATGTATGTATATATCTACATATGTATGTACATATATAGCAAATATGTAATTAATTTTGGGCACCTAGCAACAGTCTGTACATGTGTACATATATACATACAGTAGTATGTATACCAAGGCTTTCTTCCACATGATGAAACTATAAACTATTTCACTAGTCAATTACAAGCCAATTTCCTTCGACATTAGACTCCAACTACTTCAGATACATAATGTATTATATACACAACACTGGAATACAAAGTCGTGACTAAAAAAAATCAAAATTTTATGCAAAAAAAAATATATGTCACATACATTCATACATATATAGTACATATGTATGTACATAATTTCGAGATATTTCAATATGAAGATTATTGCATATTTGTGCATACATATTTGTACAAAGCGCAATTGCACCAAACTTATAAACATATTTTTCAGTAAATATCTACTGCATTTATTTATATATAGTAGCTATCTATTTAAAAACGTATGTATGTATGTACATATGTACAAACATATTTACATAGATGCATTCATACATACATATGTACATGCAAAAAAACTTCTGGAAGCCGCCCTTATAAGCAAAGCTACAACAACAATTTGCCTTATAGGAGACACGTGCAACAGAAAACATATTTCCCACGGTGCTTTCTTTGAAAATTGACATCGGGCAGAATAGAGAAGTGAAATTATTT